TGGGTCATTCTTAGAGGTTTGGGCCATGACCCTTTGGTTACCTCGAGAGGCACCATTCTGGTGGGGGCGGACCTGCTGGTTCTTACTCTTAAACCCTTTCTGGTTACGTTTAAGAGCTCTAGGGGTGGGTCGTTTAGCAGTGACGACCATCACCTCTTCTTTCATATCCTGCTTGCGGGACTCTTCCTCAATCCTTAGGCGAATAATCAAGCTTTCCAGTGAAAACTCTTTGGTTTTGTGCCTAAGCATATTCTTAAAATCTTTCCACGAAGGGGGCAGCTTATCAATAATGCAAGCAACTTGAAATTGATCGTCCAGAGGCATACCTTTAGAGACGATCTCATGAGCTATTTTCTGAAGTTCGTGGGACTGAACTTCGACGGACTTGTCATCCACCATCTGGTAGCACAGGTAGCGGCTAACAGCATACTTCTTAGCTCCAGCCTCCTCCGTGTCGTACTTCTTTTGGAGCGCATCCCAGATCATCGTCGCATAGTAGTCGTAGAGATCGTCTGCCAGGCCGTTGAGGATGTAGTTCTTGCACAGGAAGTCATGCTCCCTTTCTTTGGCAGAAGCAACCCTCTCCTCATCGGTCGCTTCTTGTGGCAGCTCGACGGGCATGCTGGTGAGGCAGTGTGCCAAATTTTTGGTCGTCAGGTAGAACTCCATCTTTTGTCTCCAGCGACGGAAGTTGACCCCAATGAAGCGAAAGGGTCGATTGATATCGACAGTACCAGATCCGGCCATGTTGTTCTGTTCAGTCGACATAGCAGCAGCCGAACGTCTTAAAATTGTTAGGAACGGAACAACAAGAAGAACGAGGTTACCGAATCTGGAGCTGAGTCGCGGACTAGGTTGCTCTCTTTAAGACATTCGCGGCACTGCCTTCGATGCGCACGACAGACTATCAACCGGTCGTCTCCAGGATAAAACAGCTCCTCTCAATACTCGCGGTTTTGTGCGAAAACCGAAGCTCTCTGAACACTCTCTCTATTGTGTTTATGCTCGTTGTGATGTGTTTAGAGGGGCTGGGGAGGCAGCTATTTATAGGAGCCGAACCCCTAGGAATATACCCTCTTGCTTGGGGAATAAGTCGGATTCTCCAAAAATATATATGTAGTCTCAAGTGAACCAACCAACCGATCGGCCGGTCGGTCGGACGGACGGACGGCGCGTGCGCGCTTGTGTGTGTGGTGGTCCGTTAGGTCCTCCCTCTCCCACAAAAGTGGGTCACCCCAAGGGGCATGCCCTTAGGAGAGAGGCTCCTATCTTTATACCCATTTCACCAAGTAAAACTACCAATGTGGTAGTTTATCCACTTGAGACTCTATAGCTTTCAAAGCTATTCATATACATTTCCAACAATTTTGTCGTCATGCGCCTCTGAAGTAGGGTTTCCCTTCTTGCACAACCCAAAATAGGTACGATGGACTTCCCTTTTTTGGGCTCACTTTTCCATCAATGTAATGTGAAGTGGGCTTGGCTTATATATCTAATCACCCCCAAAAACGTCTTATATGTAATTAACCAACCGACAATACGAAGCGCAAATCAAGTCACCCGACCGAGTCAAACACCTTGAAGATTGAAAATGGGTATTACCTTAAGCATTAGCTAATTGTAGGCACGGGATACAGTGCATAACCATAGCCTATGCAATCGTTAGTAACTCACCCGGAACCGTAGAGCTAGGACGGAGCAATCCTGTTGCTGGGATTGATGCGGGGTGGGGAGGGGTATTTTTGTCCGCATTTTGAATTTTGAATTATTTCCTTTTTTTAATTTGTCCAGCATTTATTAGATGACTTTTCAATGGAGGAGAGAGCGTTAGTGTCTTTTCTTGGCAACTATCTTTTCCTCGACCTCAAAATTGGTGACGCTCCATATCGACCAAGAGGGGACATATCTAGGTGAGTCAAGTTTTCATATTTTATGTTTTAGTATTTGTTTGTAGATTTTCAATTCCTAACTTCCTCTTTTTTTCTTCTTTTGTTGTTCTCGATTGCGGAGGATGAAATGAGGTGAGTCAGAAGAAAGGCATTTGAAGTATGTCTTAGTTATATGTATACTAGCAAAGCCCGCTCGCTATCGCTTCGCGTATCACAAAGATAAATATTTCAAAAAGTAATAATTTTGATGTTGACCCAAAAGTGAAAGTCATCTTATTTCATTGCTAATCATTCTTTTCATAGGTTTGTTATTTACAATAGCATATGGTCGATGAACTTGCATAAGGTAGAGGGGTTGTCGAATATATTATTTATTTTTTAACTTCTTTCATGACGCTAATGTATCAATTTGTATGGCTTTTTTTCCGGGTTTGACGTTTGAGGTAAGCGTGGTTATCCTTTATGAAATTTTTGGACTGATTGCAGGTTTGAGGAGGTTCAACTCGCATTGATCGTGTCAAATTAGGTTAGATACCCATGAATTTGGCTTCAATTGTCTTTCTCAAACAAAAGGAAAAAGCAAAATGAAAAACACTAAAGGTAAAACTCGTCAAACCAAGGTTCAACTCGCTTTGACCTGGTTGGACCGAGTTTTGGAAAAATTCACACCTGACACAACATGTCAATTACAAAAACAAACAAAAATCACTCCCACCGAAAACGAGTAAAATCGAGTTCAAGTCGCTTTGGTCGGGTCGAATTAGGTTGTATAGCCATGCGTTTGAACTCAATTGTCATTCTCAACCAAAAGGGAAAAGAAAAAATAAATACTAAAGCGGATAAAACTCGCTAATGATCCCAAACTCTCAACACTGCGTTCAATTCGCTTTGATAGGGTCGACCCAGTTTTAACAAATTCACAATTTACCCAACTTGTCAATTACAAAAGCGGATAAAACTCGCTCTCGATACGAAACACGTCAACGATGGGTCAGAGTTCAATTGTCATTCTCAACGAAAAAGAAAATGAGAAATAAAAAAATTTAAAGCGTATGAAACTTGCTTTCGATCTAAAATTGGTCAACAACGTGTTCAACTCGCATTGAACAATTTTTTAACAAATTAACACTTGGTCCAACCTGCCAACTACGAAAGCGTATAAAGCTCGCTCACAGTACAACAGTCGTCAAACCCTTAGATTCGGGTTCAATTGTCTTCCCAACCAAAAGAAGAAGAAAAAAGGAATTTATAAATGCTAAAGTCGATTTCAAGTGGCTTTGACTGTTGACATGATCGAATTAGATTGGATATCCATGGATTTAGGTTCAATTTTGATCAAGCTCAGTAAAAAGGAAAAAAAATAAAGAAAAACACTAAAGAGGATGATACTCGGTTCTGATACAAACCTCGTGATAGCGGCCTTGGAAAACGATGGTGGGGAACAACTTAGGATTCCGCCTACATTATTTTGTTATGGGCTTCAAAATGGTGGGCAAATGCGATGATTTGTACAAAACACTAAAGAGGATGAAACTCGATCCAGATACAAAACTCGTGGTAGCGGCCTTGGGAAACGATGATGAGGAATAACTTAGGATCCTGTCGACAGTATTTTGAGATAGGTTGGGGGGCAAAGGCGATGATCTTTTTTCAAGTTAGGATACCCATGTGTTTGGGTTCAATTGTGATCATGCTCAACAAAAAGGGGAAAAACACTAAAGAGGATGAAACTCGGTCGCGATACAAAAATCATTGTAGCGGCCTTAAGAAACTGTGGTGGGGAATAACTTAGGATTCCGCTGGCAATATTTCCAGATAGGCTGCAAAATGGTGGGCAAAGGCGATGATTTGTGCATAAAGCCATAGACGAAAACCTAGCGAACAATAACTAAACACAAAGGCGATGATTGTGCAAAAAGCCATATACGAAAACCTAACGGACAATAACAAAACACAAAGGCGATGATTTGTGCAAAAAGCCATAGACAAAAACCTAGCGAACAATAACTAAACACAAAGGTTGTAGAATGGAGAGGGGTAAAAGAATGACTTGGAACTTCCCCACTTGCACTTGGAGGAGTGTGAGAGCCACTAATAAATAGTAACTCAAACCTATGCTTTTATATATTAATTAATATTAATCCCGCCTATAGTATTTTGAGATAAGCTGCAAAATGGTGGGCAAATGCGATGATTTGTACAAAAAGCCATCGATGAAAACCTAGCGAACAATAACTGAACATAAAGGCGATGATTGTGCATAAAGAATATACGAAAACCTAATGAACAATAACAAAACACAAGGGCGATGATTTGTGCATATATCCATATACGAAAACCTAGCGAACAATAATTAAACACAAAGGTTGTAGAATGGAGATTGGGGTAAAAGAAGGATTTGGAACTTCCCCAGTTTCACTTGGAGGATTATGAGAGTCACTAATGAATAGTAACTCAAACCTAGGCTTTTGTATTAATTAATATTAATTCCGCCGATGGTATTTCGAGATAGGCTGCAAAATGGTGGGCAAAGTCGATGATTTGTGCAAAAAGCCATAGATGAAAACCTAGCATACAATAACTAAACACAAAGGTGATGATTGTACATATAGCCATATACAAAAACCTAACGAACAATAATTAAACACAAAGGTTGTAGAATGGAGAGTAGGGTAAAAGAAAGACTTGAAACTTCCCCACTTGCACTTGGAGGATTATGAGAGCCACTAATGAATAGTAACTCAAACTTAGGATTTTATATATTAATATATATTAATTAATATTAATTTCGCCGATAGTATTTCGAGATAGGTTGCAAAATGGTGGGCAAAGGCGATGATTTGTGCAAAAATCCATAGATGAAAATCTAGCAAACAATAACTAAACACAAAGGCGATGATTGTGCATATGGCCATATACAATAACCTTAACCAACAATAACAAAACACAAAGACGATGATTTGTGCAAAAAGTCATAGACGAAAACCTAGTGAACAATAACTAAACAGTGAACACAAAGGTTGTAGAATGGAGAGTGGGGTAAAAGAAGGACTTGGAACTTCCCCACTTGCACTTGGAGGAGTGTGAGAGCCACTAATGAATAGTAACTCAAACCTAGGCTTTTATATATTAATCGAACCGCCGGGTGCGTGCGGCCTGCTTTTCTCACCAGGCCAGGGTCAAAGCGGGTCAACCCACGGTGATTTGTGCAAAAAGCCATAGACGAAAACCTAGCGAACATGTACATTAACTAAACACAAAGGTTGTAGAATGGAGAGTGGGTTAAAACAAGGACTTGGAACTTCCCCACTTACACTTTGAGGAGTGTGAGAGCCTCTAATAAATAGTAACTCAAACCTTAAATTCTAATAAAATATTGAGATTGTTCCGATACCAACAGGTATTATACCACCTAGAACAACATTTTCTTTCAGGCCTTTCAACCAATCGATACGACCGCGGAGCGCAGCTTTTGCTAAAACGCGAGCGGTTTCTTGAAAACTCGCCTCGGATATGAAACTTTGAGTATTCAGAGAAGCTCGCGTTATTCCCAATAATATGGCTCGGTAACCGATCGTTTCTTCCAAAGCGCGTCCTATTCGTTCCGCTCGCAATAATCCAATTAGTTCTCCGGGTGAAAAAACGTTAGACATTCCATCTTCTGAAACCAACACTTTTGATGTTATTTGACGTACAATAATTTCTATATGCCTATTATGGATCTGCACCCCCTAGGCTAGGATCAATAAACCTTTTGGATCTTATTAACCAAAGAGATACGACTTTGCACGATTGTTAGCTGAGCACCAACCAAGAACCCCCAAGGAATTCTTGTTATATACTCCTTCCAACCTTTAACTCTCTTTTCTAGGTTTATCGATATTGAATCAATCGAACTCACTTCTAACACTTGTTCCACTTTTGGAAGACCCTGCGTTATATCACCAGATCTCGATTTTTCATATATAAATGTAACTAATGTATCCCCTTCGTAAAGGATTTTTCCGTAATGGCCATGAACAGTTGCTTCCGGAGTGGCCAAATAAGGTTTAGCAGATCTTATTACGACAGAGTCAACGTAAACAATTATAACTTGACCAGATTGGAGGTATGGTCCATCTTTGGCCATACATACATTTTCACAAATAAACTGCCCCAGGCTAATTAATGTGACTGTTCATGGAGAAAATACCAATCCAAATTAAATGGATTCAATACACTCTTACCACCCGAATACGGATCAGGATTACCGATTCTCCCGTTTTCACCCATTAAATAATATTTAAGTACGCGAAAAGTCTGTTTTAACTTGTCAAGTTTCAAATATTTATTTATCGAGATCTGATTATGCGTCATTAAATGGTAAAATGAAAAAAAATTAACAATTTGAGGGGCTGCTCCTAAAGGCCCCAACGAATTCGTAATTGGAATTCTAGGATCTCTTTTAATTGATTCTTTTATTGCATTTTTCGATTTTACATCGTTGAATAGATCCATTCGAAAACAATTAGATGATGACAAAATTATCAAAGATTGAGATTCTTTATTTCTATTCAACAATGTACTAATAGTTCCTTGATTTTGTTTAAGTGATGGTTGAATCTTTGCCTTAGAATAATTGAAATAAAATGGATTAATATTGGTGTGAGTTGAACCATTATCAGAGAAAAATTCGGAACCTCGGGGATCATTCCTTTTTTTGCTAATATATGAAATATGGGATTTCAATAAGCGGATTTTGAGGAAATTACAAACCAGACCTTTTATACTTACTTCAACAAAAGAAGCGCGGGCTTCCTCGATAGAAGAACCTTTTTTGTTTTGGTCCCAATTCACCACTAAACAAGTCCGAACTAATTGAATACTTGTGTCCAAAATTCCCCGAATCGGTTTACCATTATCATTTCCATAAAGAATGTAATTGACAACTTGAAATTTCAGATTATCCTTTTCCTGCAATACATCCTGGGTGAAAAGTGGTTCTAAATTTATACCGTCCGCTATTTCATATATAATTACCGGTCGAACTAGAACAAAATATCTTTTCTTGGTAGGTGTGATCCGTTGTACATAAATCCAACTTTTGACTTTTTTCAATTTTTTAGAATTTGATGTTACTGTTCCCGGTGGTATCAAGATACCACTGTGGCGCGATATCTTATCGGTCGCTCCCGGAAAATGGATATCTCCAGAAAAAATTTTCACTTCCATTTTTTTTTTTTTTCTCTCCACTCGAATCAATCCGCCTACTCGGCTTCTTGTATTTAAAGTGATTTGTGTATCTACTCCAATGATACTATTGTTCCGTACCATTAGGGGAGAGGACTCGGGCAAAATATAAACTTCCTCGGGAATGAAAAAAAAGCGATCTATTTTCATTTGGTATTTTGGCTTAAATTCTTTGATTCCTCGATACTCAATCAAATCCTCTTTTTTATGTTGGGGAAAATACCTGAACTGTTTCTTCGATATTGGGGATCGTCGAAATAAGCAAAAATACTATTTCTGCGGAAAATACCATTTGTCGGTATTTGAATCGAGATACCCAAAAGGGGCATTAGTTCTTTCTCTTTTTCTTGAATCGACTGGAAGGGGATGATGAATCGATTTGTTCGCCTTTTTGCCAATAAATAAGAATTCTCATAGAGAGTCTCAGGATATATGAGATGACAATGATCCGTACATATGACTCGATTTAGTTCTGAATAATCCGGAATCCTACTTTCTTTTTTACCCGAAAGATTTGAACTAAAGAATTTGCTTTTAACTTGCTCATTATTTACTGAAAGGCTCAAAATGGATTGTCTTTCGACAGAAAGAGAATGAACGTTTATTTGATCTTGATCCTTATGTAGTGAAAAAGGAACTATACTGAATCCACGAGAACACCCCGATAATATCCATAAATGACTTGTTTTTGGTAAGAGGTGTACATTACTATATGTAAATTCAGGAATATATTGTTGTTACCATACTATACCATGGTGGCATTGTTTGGTAAATAGATGTGTATTTTAGTATTGTGGTTACCATACTATAGCATATGGTAATGTGTGGTAACTCGATGTATACGTATGGTTAACCATATTTTACCATGATAGTAGATGGTGGTAATCGACACCAATTCAGAGAAAGAAGATTCAGAAGACAATGAAGGGGACAAAAAAGCGAAGAAAGTCATAATTATATATATACGACACTATACCATATGGTAATGTGGGGTAACTAAATGTAATTTTATGCATACCATGTTTTACTATTGTCGTAGAGGGTGGTAATTATATTTATATTTGTTGTTATATGGTTTTACGTTCTCTTACCATGAGGCATTGTAAGGTAATTATGATTAATTTATGGTCATTTGATTTACCATGTTCTACTATGGTGGTATTGTATGATAGTTAGATTTATAAATTTTTGTAGCATATTTTACCACGTTATACCATGTGGTATTGTATGGTAGCTAATTAGATTTTTAATTTTATTTTAACATGTTATAATATGGTATTGTATGGTAATTATATTTGTAATTTTCTTTAGCATATTTTACCATGGTAGTAGAAAATGATAGTCATATTCATATTCATACTTGTAATTACCCTTTTCAACAAAGAACTATTAAATGAAAAAATCATCATTAAATTTGAGTTGGAGTTAGAGTAGAGAGAGCTTAGATGGTTGAATTCATATTTGTTTTAGATATAGAATTAGAGTGGAGAGAGCATGTTTTTTTTTCTTTCTCCCTTTCAGCTCTAGATGAGAGAGAGAGAAAAAATTAATTTTTCTTTTAATAATAGATAAAAGAATCAATTTTAGTTTTTATTAATATTTAATTTTTTATTTAATATGAAAATAATCCTACTCAGCCACACATCAGCAGTCAACGTTGACAGTTTATAACTAATGAAAATATAGCTTGTGTTAGCATTGTTATATTGATTAAAATAGGAGTATTTTGAAGGGAAGAACCTCTTTAAAAAGGGTCTGCGATAGCAAGTAGGATCAGGATCCTCAATCTACATTCTACATGATCCGTGTTTACCTTCAAATCCACCCTCTTCCCAATCTTGAAGACAGGAATGACCTTAGATGAGCCAGTAGTATCCTACCTTATCGATCCAATATCGTTTACTTGGAACTCTAATAAGATTCGATCTCTATTCTACCCAGCTTTCGCCGAAATAATTTTTTCCATACCCTTACCCTCATATCCGAGAGAGGATAAACTTATCGGGCACTATGATAAATCTGGTCACTACACATTGAAATCGGGGTAACACCTTTTCACAAATGAAATCAATCCATTTCATAATAATATTCCATACTACTTGGACACGAAGTTTTTGAAATCTTTATGGCCAAAATTGAAATTATTCCTTTGGAGCGTAGTTTGGGGTTCCTCCCTGTTCGCTGTATACTGCAAATTAAAAAATTGGCCATTTCTAGCGAGTGTCCTGCTTGTTGTGAGCCAACCGAGGACGTTAATCATTGCTTTTTTGAATGTAGGATCGCGAAGGAGTTATGGATTATGGCTAGATTAGAACATCGTAGATACTTAATGCACTCCTTCCAACCAGATCTGGCATGGAAAAATCTATTATGTGCTACTCACATCTCCACGATCGAGATTGCCGCTGCGGTTTTCCTATTCTGGCAAATTTGGAAAGGAAGATGCAAAGCTATTTATGGTTTGGTATTATTTCAAGCTCAAGTTTTGTTCCGACAACTAACAGCGCAAATAGAGGAATGGCGAATGGCGGAGGGACAGAAAGCTTGACAATCCACAGGTGTACAAAGATCATCGACACATCCTAGTAATCTAACAGGATCTCGAAGGAGCCATCCAAATGCAACATGCTCTAATAATGGTATCCTGGTCAGATTTGACGGAGCCATGAAGAAAAACCAAGGAGGCTAAATCGGATTTGCTGATTCTCAAGAGAAGGTACGTTATCCTTTGCTTTTGGTAAATGTTATGAAGGAACTTCGGTGGCTTACATCGTCGAGCTTCTAGCTCTTAGAGATGCTATGAGATGGTGCTTAACACATAACTTTTTGGTGGTTGCATTTTGTGGAGATGCTCAATTGGTTATCAGCACACTATGGCAAATAACGCTTCATACTCTTGTGCAGGGGCTGTATTGGAGGAAGTTCACTCCTTTTTCTCGTTTTTTTAGTCTGTGTCGTGTCATTTTGCTCCTTGGAGCTTTAACAAAACGACCCATATAGTGTCTAAACATGCTCTCTCACCGGGAATCCGCTTGCTTACGGATTACTGCCTTTTTTTTGGAGTCTTCCATGTAACTGATCCGAGTCTTTGTCCCATGCCTGCCTTGAAAAAAGAAATAAAAGACACAAGTGTAATTTTTTGGATAGTTAGAGTGGTGTAGTGATATTATCTCCTATAATAACCTTGAAATATCCCCATGCACCATGTTAACAACCACAAATTGTTATAGGAGATGAATTATTATTTTGATAATTTACACTTTCTTCATCATTACATTTTAAATGATTGTCGACCATAAAATACGAACAGAGTGTGCGGCGAATTTTCTTCCTTCATATTACAAAGAGGAACATCTCTTGGAGTTTCGAATTACTATTGCAATGCATAGTTGTCTTAGTTTCGCTTGGAGCTAACCGAAAAACCAAGTTAATAGAACTCTTGGCAGGCACGTTTTCAATTTCCAAATCTTTTATTTCTTTATTTTTTTCTTATTTTTAATAGTCAGCAAAAAATGTTATGGAACCCTAATCGTGGCTACTCTGCTGTATGTTTTGTGGTGAATCCTAATTGGTCATACGATGAGCAATGGAGAATGATGCCGATCATGATCGAGGGGGAGCAATGCTTGAAGACCTCTTTTGCATCTGTTTCTTTTGTTTTTGCTCTTAGTAGTACTAACAGGGCTGCCCATCGCGTGGCACAAACGGCCCTTGCATCGGTAGCAACCCTTTTGGTTGACTACCGCTCTTTCATTTTCACCGCACTGTAATACCTTATCTATTACGATCTATCTATGAAAAAAAAAACAAATGGGGTAAAAGCTACTAATCATAATATAGTCCGAAAGGCATGGGGGTTGATGATGTGTTCATATATGCGGTACAGGTGACATTGAGAGACTGGTCTCCACCGTGGGTAATATGAGTTGGAACGAGTAGTAATATTTGTGTGGGTCTAATTAGAAGCTTCACCAGCAGCAGGCATTGTTAAATACGCACATAATGGACGACTATGAAATTCTTTCTGGATCGTGCTTCAGACAAACCTAGGCATCTGGACTGGAGGGCAGAAAATGGAGCGTCGTCACGTGACGTGACGTGATCATCGCCAGAGGGAATTTATTAGACAACAACAAGAAAGCCATTGGATCACGATCCTATGTCCACATATCCACAAGAACACGATCAAGGGAAAGACGAGAACGAGAGAGTCACAGCTGATGTCAGCGAACTATACATATATCTATCTCCCTTAAACGTTGTGACGTACAAACAAAGGGTTCAGAGGAGTGGAGGAGACCCCAGACAGCAATATGTTCTAGAACTTTTAGTTGAATCGTCAAGCTACAAGTGAAATAGTGGAAGTGTAGAACTACAAATTAAAGTCATCGTCAAGGCGATTTGATGGGAGAGATCTTATGCTTTTAAGTTGTTTGAATATACAGTGAATTTGTATTTCTCCTGCAAAAAAGAGAGATTGTTAGCGTCATTAATCTTTACATATATATGTTTGTTGGGACCTTCCTATAGTAATTTCTAATTTCAAGTAAGATAACTTACATAGATCTAAACGGTAAAAATCGATCATACTTATTTTAAATTATTGATTAAAGAAAAAAAAATAAGAAAAAAAAAATAAATGACAAAAGAGGTTGCCGTCACCACCTTCATTCTTTCCCTTTTCACATGTAGTTGGCTTCCTTATTTTAATTCTTATTGAATCAAAAGCGTTACGTAAAGTTTCCTACTTAGCTCTTTACGTAACACGACATTAATACTCATTACGTAAAAAGACCTTCCATTATGTTAGCCTTTCGTAATGACATTTTACTACTGTTACGTAAAATACACATTTATTACGTAAATGTTACATAACGATAGTTATTTCTTACGTAACAGTTAAATCGAAAGCGTTACGTAAGGATTTCGTAATGACTTAGCACTTTACGTAATGCGAGGTTAATACTCATCACGTAAAAAGACCTTCCATTACATAAAGGTTACGTAACGACAGTTATTTCTTACGTAACAGGTTAAGTAAGTAGCGTTACGTAAGGCTTCCGTAATGACTTAGTATTTTACGTAACGCGAGGTTAATACTCATTACGTAAAGACACTATCTATTACGTAAGACTTTCGTAATGAACTTTTACAACTGTTACGTAAGATTATCATATGTTATGTAAGATTATCATATGTTACGTAATGCGACCGGTGAAACTTACTATAACAGGTAAAAAAATTCAAGTTACCTTACTTCAAGTTACCATAGAAAATTCCATGTTTGTATTGTGCAGATAAATGTAATATCGTGCAAATATGGTGTACAATACGCAATAACTGAAAAAAGAGACGATATTTGAGAATTGGGGTGGGGGTAATATGATCAGGGATACAAGATTAATGATGGTACTATATTGTTGATTATTCATTACGAACTCTAGCCTCTAGGTATCTATTATGGGGATAATGATAAATTTTCATTTGTTTAGGAGAAAAACCAGTAAATTTCATATTATTCAAAAATGAAGAAGGAAAGAAAATGACGATGGTGTTTTTGGCTCAAGTAATAGCAAAATCATATGTTTTTTCTTGCATGGTATGAATTTTGCTCACAGTACCTCAGATTTCTCAATATTTGACCAACACAATTACAACTCAACTAACTAGCAATCAAACCTCTAACCTGTATGACTAG